TCGTATTATTGTGCTCATTGTGTGCTATTTTCGGCCACTTTTCGTTTTTTTTGTGCTCCGACCATTTGGTAAATAATTAAGACTTTGCTAAGTTAACCGTAACTTAGCAAGACATTCAATCAATGAAGTATTTTTACTACTTTTCTGGGCTTATTTTTTTGCGCTTTTTATGGGCTTTAAAAATATTGCCCGGTTAACATTGAAAAACCGTTTGACGCCACGCTAGCTAACCCACTTCTTAAACTTTGGTCGAACACGGATAAATAGTATTGAGGAATTACGTGCTATTTTTGGGCTTTTTAGAGTCACCTAAATAATTATAGGAGCTCATCCAGTTTCCGAGATAATTAAGACTTTGCTGGGTTGACTGCAACTTAGCAAAACATCCATCCAGTGAAGACTTTTACTGCTCATCTGGAATTATTATTTTGTGCTTTTTATGTGCTTTGCAAATCTTGCCCGTTAAACATTGAAAAATCGCTAAAAAATAGTGCACCGTAAACATTGAAAAATCCACTTCTTAAACTTTGGTCGAACACGGACAAATATTATTGAGGAATTACGTGCTATTTTTGGGCTTTTTACCAAAATAATTATAGGAGCTCATCCAGTTTCCGAGATAATTAGACTTTGCTGGGTTGACTGTAACTTAGCAAAACATCCATCCAGTGAAGACTTTTTACTGCTTAATTGGGTTTATTATTTTGTGCTTTTTATGTGCTTTGCAAATATCGTTAAACATTGAAAAATCGCTAAAACTATTGCCCAGTAAACATTGAAAAATCGCTTGACGTCACGGTAGCCGACCAACTTTATAAATTTTGGTCGAACACAGATATATATTGCTGAGGAATTAGGTGATATTAAGGGGCTTTTTAGGGCCGTCAAAATTATTTAAGGTGCTCAGTCAGTTTCCGGGATAATTAAGACTTTACTGGGTTAAATGTAACATAGCAAAACATCTGTTATGTGAAGACTTTTTGTTTAACGTTTTAAGTTTATGGAAAACTGTCAAGTGTACTCATTGAGGTGTTTAATAAACTCAGAGTTTAATTTGACATTTGTTTGTTAACTTTTTCTTATTTACATTTAGCCTGTCCCCGTACTCCAGCATTTAGACAGAAATAGTCCGAAGTAGCCGTGGTGTAGAATACCAACCGTTTAGGCATAAAGAAATAAAAAAAAAATTAGCTAAATAGAACTTTCCATGCTGGTTTCAACCATATGAAGATTATTTGGCGCAAATAAAAACTAAAGCCAGTAAAAAAGGTTCAAGTTTAACTTTTATATTTATAATATCTCGGAAACTATTTGACCGATCACAAACGTATTGATGCTAATTTAAAGATAATTTAAATACTTTTTACGCCATTAAAAAAAAGAAAAAAATATATATATATATATATTTTGATTATTAGGTGTTTCTGGCTTAAAAATATAAATGAAAGGAAACAATTATTATGGAATAGTTCCGTTACCTTTTCCAATAGCCAAAACTGTAAAAAAAAGCTGCCACACAGTTTGTATTTGGGGAGTGTTTGTAAAACCAATCATAGTATGCTATGGATTGCTTGATTTTGTATGGTTACCTCAAAACAATCATGATAGTAAACCATAACAAGCTCTCCCACTGAATATGGCACTTACATTAATCATCAGCCATACAGGTGCCTGATGTATCTATGACTGCAATCTGAAATTAATTTTTTAATTTTTTAATGAGAAAAGCCTTTATAGCCTGATCTGGGGTTGGATTCTGGACACTGAATATTATGTGCACTCCTAATTTTGCGATTTAGGAATAGTGTTGTCAGTTGAGATTATTTTTAAGAATCAAACTTGAAGGTGAAGCAAAAAAAAATCGGGCCTTTAAATAAAAGATTTATGTAGAAGTATGTATAAAAAATATTTGTAAAATATGTATGTATCTCTGAGATTAATTCAATTCATATCAAATATTTTTTGTTACTTAAGTAGAGACTATTGTTTAACTTCCACAATTCATTTTCAGATCACACATTTAATCTGCACTTAAATGGCCAATATTGGTTATTTAAATATGAGATATGCAACCCTGTGTTTGTACCAAACAACCAAGATTGATAGGTAGGTTGTTTTATCAATCTTGCCAAAGAACAATCAGCTGTTCAGTACAAAATGTAAACAAACAAGCAAATGCAACAACAATTTCAAGGAGGAAGCAACAGTGCTGCCACTTATTTGGCATATTTAAATAAAGTTGATCTGAAACCCAACGGAAGTTAAATTGCATTTACGCAACAATCCAAAATTAAACTTATGTGCCGTTTAAATATTCATTTGAAATTGGCCCTAATACTATGTTCACGTTAAAATATTAACTCGAGTTTAACGGTTAGAGTTTATGAACATTTGTCAAGTGTAATCATTGGGGTGTTTAAGAAGCTCACGATTTTAATTTGGCATCTGTTTGTTTACTTTTTCTCATTCACATTTAGCCTGTTCCCGTACTCAAGGATTTAGACAGAAATAGTCCGCAGTAGCCGTGTTGCAGAATACCAACCGTTTGGCCATAAAGAAATAAAAAACGTAGCTAAATAGAACTTTTCATGCTGACTTTAACCATACCAAGATTATTTGGTGCAAATAAAAACTAAAGCCCATAAAAGAGGTTAAAGTTAAACTTTTATATTTTTCTTTTATTTATAATATCTCGGGAACTATTTGACCGATTACAAACTTATTGATGCTAATTTAAAGATAATTTAGGTACGTTTTACGCGACGTATACAATTTTAAATAAACGCCATTAAAAAAAAATATATTTATATATTTTTTGGTTATTAGGTATTTCTTGCTTAAAACTATAAAGAAAGGAAACAAATTATGCACACCAAGTGAAATACCCCTAATTACCTTTATTTTGACGTCATTTAAAAAAATCAAAACATTTAACTTTAACCATTGATATCTTATTTCTTTTCAACTTTCGCCAAATAAAATCTTGCAGTACGGGAACAGACTAACGGCAAATTGGTTGCAGGTTTGGATTTTCAAAGACACAAACCAAATGCAATGCAACCCGTTTTGATCGACTTTGGTTTGTGTCTTTGCTAATCCAAACCTGCAACCAATTTGCCGACAGTTAGTCTGTTCCCGTACTGCAGGATTTAATCAGATATAGTCCCAGGTCGCTCCGTCCACACAAGTGTAGAATATCAGTAATCTAGCTATACAAAAACAAAAATGTGACTCAATAGAACTTTTTGTGCTAATTTCAACCCTACAAAATTTATTTGGCTAAAGAAAAAAATAAAGGACAGGGTTAAAGTTAAATTTTAAAATTTTTTTAAATATTATTATCTTTTGAACAATATGACCTATTAAAAAAATAATGACGTCAAAATAAAGGTAATTAGGGGATATTTCTCTTGGTGGACATAATTGTTTCCTTTCATTTATATTTTTAAGCCAGAAACACCTAATAATCAAAATATATATATATTTTTTTTTTCTTTTTTTTTAATGGCGTAAAAGGTATTTAAATTATCTTTAAATTAGCA